CAGACTGTGTGAATGTTGTTCGATGTGCTTGCGTGCGTATGTGTGTTCGTATCTGCGTGCGAGTGAATGCCGGGTACCGAGGTGTCCTCTTTCGTTTCCCTGTAGATTTAAGAATAAATTTTTCAAAGAAGCGAAAATTCCTCTTTGCAAAAATAGAGTCCGTAAAAGTCGATCGCGATTCCTTCGTTTTTCCTGTTTTCAAATACTTTTCTCTGAACTAAAATTATTGGCAGGATGCTGTTATATTTTCGCTACAAATCATTGCTCACGAGAATCAAATAAAACATATATTAAGTACAATCTAGTTTCACAATGTTGCGAATTTTCAAGTACTTTGTTTATAGATATCATAAGTTTGCTTGTTTATGTCCTCGTCAATTTTTTTTCAATTGTAAATCTTGCTCCGATACTGTGCGATATTTTGATTAATCTTCGTTCATTTCCGCAGGTGTCCCAAGTGTGTTTTTAAATTAGAATGACTCACATCAGATTGAGATGTCAATTAGTTCCTATCGTCTCTACTCGCTCGTAGAGGAATTGAATAGTGACTTTAAATAAAATAAATGCAAACCATATTGTCATTTATCGTATGACACATTAACGTTACCTTACCTTAGCGTTCACAGCATAGAAAGGAAATTGTGTGTATCATATGTATTATTTTGTAAATGTGATTGAATTACGATGTTCGCGTCCTTGATGAGGAATCTTTAATATGATATTGCTTGTGCTTCAGAATTCATACATTCTATTATTATATACATTTGTAGGCTTATATATACCCATGAGGATCCATATGAGGTCTTTTGGTTTTTCAATATGATCGACTTAATACATCATGAAGAGACAGATGCAGACACAAAGATGGTATCCAGTGTTCCTCGCCGTCCTGATTTTAGTAATAAATTGATTATATAAGAGACAGACAAAAAAACAAAGAGAGAGAGAGAGAGAGAGAGAGAGAGAGAGAGAGAGAGAGAAAGAGAATGGGAAAAAGAGAATGAGAGTATGTTTAACATTACTATTATACGCGAAAACACACTGCCGCAATTTTATATAATTGACTGTTGTTATACCTATACCTACATATATATTATATACATTATATACATACACACTATATATATATACATATTACTCAAGACTTAACGAGCTGCGATACGTGTCGCTCGGAAGGAGTCCAGGATATGGCCAGTGAATTAATTTAAGATAGTTTCTATCCGCTGACACGGATTCTTAATCTAAAATTAATTAAAATCTTTCAATGGCGGCGAGAGTCACGTTTAGTCTTTACTAAAATTTACAGAAATTCTGAGACGGTGCGTTTCTATAAAGTATAGATATCTAAGATATTAGATATCTAAATATTCAAAACGACCAGATTTCTGTATTTATCGAGAAAAAACATTATCTATAAGAATATCCAAGAATATCTAACGATATTTAAGATCATTATTATATGTGTGCCTGTATAAATTTGCAATTATCGATGAAGCATTACAAAGTATAAGGTGTGCAATTTTTCGTGAATTTCTCCCCTTCGACGAAGAAAAAACGTGACAAACGCGGCCGGAGGATCGGCAGCTTAGGGGATATTACTCATAGGGATCTTCGTACGTCCCATATACGCAATAAACGGTAATGTAATAATTTTTCCGAAATATATCCCTCTGTTCGTGCGCGCCATAGACTGGATGTAACACGAGGTCCTTCGAGAGTCCTCGTATCGCTCGTGCAGAATAACCCCTTGGTCAAATTGAGCTAAGTAAAGAAACAGGAACGGCAAACAAACGCAGTAAATCGTGCTCTCGACTTTCCCACACAATCGCGATCCCCACACTTTATTTATCATTTTTCTCCCCTTCGTATCTCTTCCTTCAATAAACGATAGATAGGAAACAGAGAATGTTCCGATCTTGTGATTTGGTCACGTTGGATAGTCGAGTCTAGTCTCTCATTATGAATTCGCAGACAATTTGCAAAATCGGATTTAAAAAATTAAATGAATACGAAAGAAACAGGTTACGATAAATGGCAAAGAATGAAAAGATACGCGTAACAACAAAATTCGCGGGGAGAGAAAAAAAAGTCAGTCAAGAACGCTCGAGAGTCACGTTAGAAATTCACAGGACTTGCTTACGATTATGTAAGATGATGTGTCGAATGGTAGAAAAATGGAGCAATGAACGAGCAAGGGGCATAATATACAAATATAATTTTTTAACTTGCTCGCATTACCTGATTCTCTCGTGCAATCGCATTTCATTGATCGACAAATTATTATTATTACTTACAAAGAAATTCGCGTTAAACAGATCCAGAGACTTGTATATTCGATTTTAGAACTCGTCTCGATTGAATGATTTTGTAAGCACGTTTATATAAGGAGGATTTTTATATACACACACACATACACACACACACATATATATATATATATAT